GATGTTTTCAAAGTTTTCAAAAAAAAACTTGAATTTAAAAATTTCACAAGCAACGAAAATCCGAACACTGTAGTTGGATGCTGCTAGCGTACTCTGAGGTCTTGCCTACAAATGTGACTGCTCAGATGCTTTCAGTTTCCGAGATATGACGTTTTTGAATGACTTTTTTTGATAGAATTAGATTAGAAAATTTCAAAATTTGAAATTTCCTTCCATATAATCAGACGTTGTCAGGGTACTCTAGCTATTTGCAAATCTTATCTCCAAATATGACTGCTGAATTTTTCTTATACCTACCGAGATTTGACGTTTTTTATGATTTTTCAAAAATATCCAGAAAACTTGGATTTGAAAAAAATCACAAAATCTATTTTCCATCTATTAATAGTTTAAATGCGGGCTTCTTTCTCTCGCCATTTTTTTAAATTCCTTAGCGTCTTTTTTCATTTTTAAAGAAAGAATTTTTCCTATATCGTATATTGCAATGCTATATAGTATATTGCAATGCTGAAAGTTTTTTTTCAATTTTCCAGTTTTAATTCATGTTTTTATTTTACCAAGTTTGAAATTAGCAGCTCAAAAGTGGGATGATGTCAGGGTTCTCCATGGGTTGCAAGTTTGAACGCCAAACCTGAACACCCAAAACCATTTAGCCTACCAAATACGACAGCTTTTGTGATGTTTAAAAGTCAGAAAACTTGAATTTAAAATTTTCACAAACTTTGAAACTCCCGACCCTGTAGTTGGATGCTGTCAGGGTACTCTCAAATATTACAAACATTGCCTCGAAATTTGACTGCTCAAATCCTTGTAGTTTTCAAAACATGACGTGTTGTTGGGGCTGTCAGGGTACTTTCGGGGGTTGCTTTTTTGCCTCTACATGTGAATGTTCAATTGCTCTAGTTGCTATTCAAATGTAGTATTCATGGATAACTTTTGCGTGTAATTTTTTTGCCTAAGTTCAGAAAAATTTAACTGTGGTCGATGGAATTGATATTGTATAATATTTTTACAGTGTTGGAATTAACTCATGATTTATTTGTACTAAGAACTCACTTCTGGGCGTATAATTTTTGAGTTAAAATTTTTGATAGGCTAATTTTTTAAAATAGGTTCTGGACTTGCAATTAGCAACTTTGAATTCCCAAAGGATTTCCAAAGGATGTTTTCATTGGATTATATTTTATTTAGCTTTCGCCTGCGAATTGGTAGCAAACCCTGGAGCTTGGTTAATTTTTACACGAGGGTAATTTAATTCAATTTCTTGCAAATATGCAAGCAATTGAAATTGCTTCAGTATTGAACCTCAGTTTCCAGGCATTTTCTCAGTTGCTTTTGAAGTTTTTTTCAGTATGTATGAAATTTTTGTTCTGTAAAAATTGAGGTGTCCGATTTTCTTTAGTCTGCTGTAGTTTTTTCTGATTGAAATTTTTTTTATTACTATAACTGACAGCCGTCCTTTTACTTCGTCAATGTATCAATTTGTTTTTTAAATAATTAGTTCTTTTATTTTCGGTAATAATGGTTCCGGTTCATGCAAATTTATGATGGATTTTTGTTTTTGGATCAGTAGGTGGCTACTTAATTTTTGTAGGCTTACTTTTCGGTCTATAAATGATACTAAAATCTGATTTAATGCTGGTGGTTGTGTTTCTTGACTGATTTTTTAGTAATTTTCAAGTATTTTTGTGGTATTAGCCAACCATAGCATTTTTGAAAGTGAGAGCAGACATGTCTCGTGATATTGGTAAACTCGTATCCTACGAAGTGGCAGCACAAATTTTTTTCAGAGCTCACGCATTTTAGTTTTTTGCATTTGAAAGGTTTTCGCATTTTTCAAAATGCAACTTCGCTTCTCTACGAAGCTATTTTTGAATTTCAAATTTCAGAAATTAGACGATAAGCAAATTAGACGGATACTACAAAACCGAAATTAGACGAAATTTATTTTTTTACAGATCTGGCTTTTTAGACGAAAAAGCTATGAAAAGGAAAGGGCCAACATAGTTTTTTTCTTAAGATTCAAGTTTCACAAATACAAAACTAACATAAAATGTCAATACCTATCAAAACAATTAGTTTGAATTAACATAAAATGTCAAATCCGAATATTACAGGAGAGTTTTGAATTGAATGAATTATACATGATTAACTTGTAAAGCTTTTGGCCACCGAAATTTAACTGTTGTCTGCAAACAATTTTATTATCTCAGGAAATTTGTCTGCAAACAATTTTAATATCTATCACTTTCGTCTATTTTCGCACAATTGCGGTTTTGCAAAATCGTCTAATTTCCTTTTAAGTACCTCCGTCTAATTTGCTTATCGTATAATTTCTCAACCCCCTACGACAAGACTCTTGTGTCTCGTCTTAAAATGCGACAATTGAACTGTATTTAACCAGAACGATTCCCTGCCATAACAATGATAGTATGTGAGGACTAGCTCTCTTTTTACTTCTAGCTTCAGGTTTACCTTAGTTTGACCAATTTCGGCTGCAATAGTGATACCACGTAAATATGCTTGACGCAAAGAAACGGTCTTGAGTCGCAAAAAAGAGCTTTGGTAAACAAAATTTCTCTGGAATATGGGGATATAAAACAAACGGACTATGCTTTGACAGGCCTGATAGCCTTTCATAGATCCCAGCCTTTCATAGATTCTATCCTAGCCTTTCATATATCTCTGCTTATCGCAGAAACATCAATTACTAGAGAATGTTAGTACGCCGTCCTACTTGCATAACTTGAGACGAAAGGCTAGGCACTGGCTCGTGTGCACAAAACCACTTGCATCGTAAGTACGCGCTGTTTAGTGAAGCAGAGCACGCGTTTTCAAATGTTAATTTTTTATTTGAAACTAATTCGTCGTTGGGTCATCCGAGTTTTGTTAATTAGAAAACTGACTGAGTTGAGCTTAACTGAAATTCATTGTTAAGCTTCAGCTTCGCTATTTTCTCTCAGTCGAGTTTGTCATTTTTCATGAACATTTCTGTAGATTTTTCATCTCTGTAGCTGAAGGTATTTCCACGAATTTGACCAGAGTAAACATAGCTATGTAACTGTGAAAAAAAAATTTCTGTGTAAGCTTATTCGGATTTGCGACTGGACTTCGATCGGCTTTTTGTTCCGACCATTTGAGAAATGGGGAGGATCTTTTTACTCGGGTGTTCTACTGTTTTTTTTTTTCATTTTTTGTTTTCAACGCAAAATCAGATACCACAAATAATCATCGGACTGAGTTGCGTGCTATATCATATTAAATTCCTTTCCGTCTCAAGTCGAACGACATTCAAAAATTTCCCAAGCGTCGAGAAGAACTGGTTTGCAATTTTTGATTTTTGTTCTAATTTCGAGCTAATAAAGTGAGCGTCCAGACTTACTACAATAGTTTGTTTATACTTAATATAAGCCGTGAAAACTTAGTTACTCGAGTGAACACAGTAAACTTGAAATTTCTGCGAAAAAATTGATTTGTTTAAAGTTTTTCTAGTCATTTTTCTTCAAAAACTGTTTTACAAGTGGCCTGGTTCAGTGCGACTATCGAATTTATCTAAGTTCCATTTTTTCGTTCAGATCTTTTTATCGCACCACGCAGAAAAAACACCAGTAATTTGAAAAAGTGATTTTTGTATTTCTTGTAAGACTATGGTCGGAACATTCTGTGCTACTTGAATAGTAACCGGCTATGCTTGTTTTTGGTATTTGTTTAAACGACTAAATACCATGAATTTTGAAAGTTTGCTTTTATGATGCCCTAATTACTACATACGTTTCGAACTTCTGTTTTTCTGTCGTCTCAGTTTTGTCAGCTTGCTTAGAACGCTGCTCTTCTATCTGTCATTCTTTCTTTCGGCATTTTTTGAGTTTTGTGAATGATCAATCTTCCAGAATTTTTTTTTGAAATACAGACATAGATTTTCGTAAACTGTTTATTTCGGTTTTTGTGTTAATTTTCCTCCCAAATTTTTCATGACACTGATCTCGTCCACCTAATTTTTCAATCATTCATACGCTCATTACTTCATCCATCCATCTGCAAAGATACTGCAAAAATACATCTATCTATCTATCTTTTTATCTATCTGTACGTTATTTAATTGGCATTGCACTTGACCCAAGTCCCTATGTTGACATGTTAAAATGCCTATATATTGCACCTTATCTGATAAAGATAAGTTATTTTAGAATGAACTGTTCATTTAAACAGAACTTTTTTTGAAATATAGAAGTCCAGTTGAATGCTGTCGGCTTTATTATGCTTTTAAATTTGAGTTTTAAAAACGCAGATTTAAAACTTGGTAGTTTTGAAGATATGACCATTTTTGTTGGAAAAAAAATTAGTTTCAACTTGAACTCTAATCATTCAATATATGAAAAAGATAACGCTGTTGCATACGCCGAATTTGTTTTTAGGGTCGCGTGTATTGCTAAATTATAATTGTTTGAAGAGAAATTTCTGCGTTCAACAGTCTGTTTGAAGCACAGCAGGTAGTTCCACCTAAAGACCATAAGAATTTGAAGAAAGTATAATGCGCTTTTTTCATTTCAATTGTGGAAGAATTCTGTATTCATTTTTTTCACCTCAAGCTCGCTCCAGTCAGGATTCACTTGGTGTACACAAAAATTTTAACAGAATTTCTTTCAGTTTTTCAAAGTATGGTCGAACTGATGAAAAAGAAAATGAAACAAAAAACCCTGTTTTCTTCATTGTCCAGTATTAATGCCTTCACACCGAATCTTTTATTTGAAAATCCTTTGATAGAGAATAGAAAGTGTTGACAATGGATAGCTCTTTCCCTGGAAATCTTTTTCAAATAATGAGTTCTAAATAAATGGAATATTGAGCGTTTTTGCATTTTTCTCTGATCCCTTATCTCTGATTTTGTGTCTGGAAGTAGTTAGAAGCTCCGTTTAGCTTCTGTTGAACTCTTGCTATATATATCATTTGATTATTGTATCAAATAGACTCGTCCTGAGCTTAAGGTTTTGCTGTTCCAGATGTTGGATGCTTTGGACAAGGGAGCCAACATCTGGCAATGTCTACTGGCCGCCTTTTTCCCTGGCTATGATTCTGTCAACGTCAGCAATGAACTATTCAATGACCATGACCACAATTTTGACAAAGATTCCAAATCATGTCTTACAAACCTGGCCAAAGTTTACGCGGTCCTCGCTGCTGCGGAGCTTGAATACTGTTTGAATGGCGAACATGCATTGTGCACCGAAAAAGATGACAGTGAAAACGATCACGCCGAAGTCGACGAAGATGAAAAGGCAAGTAGACGTGATCGAGGGCTCGCATTCTGTGGAAGCACGCCAAAAGTCACGGCCAGTTTCATGGACTTCATTCCTGGTCTAATCGAGGATCAGTCATTGGATGACTTCCTTAACATGTTTTACCTCCTGAACATTGGCCTGCTAAGCACAGATCAAGAAGTTAGATGTGGAACTTTAGTAGTTGCTACGGCTTTGTTTAGAAATGTTCCGGGTATTTTGATTGCCAAAGATTACGAGAAAATGTTCTCAGATTTCATCTGCGCTTTTTTGCAGTCCAACTGTTTTGCGTTAATCATCAGGTGTCTCGATTTATCTGCAGACCCTCGAATCACAAAAGAAGCCGAATGCATCGAGGTTCTTAGATTCTACCAACAACTTCTGAGAATCTCACAGTTGAACAGGCCCGATGTCTTGATTCCAGCTATTGCTTCCAGTTTAGGATCCGTTGTTCGTGATTACATAACCGTTTTTGGCAGTGAAAATGATGATACATCGAAGCGAAAAGAAATGATCAAAATATCGTGCCTGCTTTCTAATTTAGTTAATGCGGATACAGGGAAAGGGCGAGGTATGGGTCGACGCCCTGACTTACTCAACACGGAAAATTACCCGGCGGGAATGGTAGCGAAGACAAGTGCTATTTTGATAGCTGAAATGCTAATGGTAAATCCAACTCCTGTTTGCAAATCTGGTGCTATAACGGTGCTCATCTCTTTCATTCTTCATAGCTCGAATCAAAGACTGACCGAGAGTATTCTATCTTCTATTTTATATGTCATAAATTTCTCCGAGTCTAGATCTCAAATTTCTCCTATTATGTTACACTCGTTTATGTCGCCATTTACTTCAGAATCCACTAGTGGTTTTAAATTTGACCTTTCCATGCCATTCTCAGAAGAGTCCTTTGGCTCTGCCTTCCAAATTCAACTGCAGTCTTCAAAACTCTGTCTTATCTCTCTTCTGTCATCCTGGCAGGGCCTAATTGCACTGGGATCTCCAGTGTCGAGAAATAGCTCTGCCCTTAAATCGGGAGTAGAAATTTTAATATGTTCTATGAATGTTGGTGACGTGTATTGTAGAACTGCTGTTTTGGAAACCTTATACCATGTTCTTGGAATCGAGTTTCCGACAAATTTCTCATTTTTATTGAGCGAAAATCAAGAAAACTTAGAAACCGAACCAAATGCTTACGCAGTTCCTAATGATTCTTATGCAAAATATAGACTTGACGAAGGTTTCGTTGTTGCTGAGTTCGTGGATTCTCGTGACTGCTTCTCGGATTTCCGAGACAATCAGCCATCACAAATATCGGCGAAAACTCTGGACTTGGTTCTAAGCCGAAGAGTGTTCCTGCTAGCTGCTTTTGTCGAAGCGGGCTTAATAGACATGTTACAGAAGATGCAGGAATCGATCTATTCAGTTGAAACGAAAGATGAACGCACTAACATGGAAAACAGTTTGAAGTTAGCTGCTGCTTACATGCTCGTGGAATTATGTCAAGTGTACAAACCGTTGCTACCGAAACACTTTGAGCCATTTTTCTCCGCTATTGCTTTTAAAGCTGAAGGCGATTTGACGTATGACTCGGAAACTGACCCTGAAATTATACAACAGCTAGAAAAGTTCAATGTTTCAAATGAGACGCAAGCATTTTTGGACGTGCCTTTCGAGCCAACTGAAACAACGAGAAACGAAAGAGGACAGTCGGAAGGTTCTATAAATGTTCTGGACGCTATTGTGAAGTGGAAGCGTCAAAGACAGACCACAAATCCATCATCAGTGGGACCACAATGTGGAATACATGGTTCTGTTTTTATGGAGTATCTTCGAAATGAGCAAAACTCATCGTTAATTTCGACGGATCTGTCTACAGCGTTGATTCCAAAAGCAAACTCAAAGAAACTGGAACATCATTTGGCGCAGCTTCTTGTTGAGAGTAACGTTCTGGAGCAAACCAGCGTTGAGATGGGAAGTCATGTTGAAAATAGCGAGGATAGTACTTATGAGTTTATGAACATGTCAAATTTTCCTTCAACTAACGAATCAGAGGATGTTCTAGAAAATTCCTTAGCTCTCGTTGAAGCAGTATCAGTCACTAATTTACCTCAACGACAGACGTCAAGAGTGTCAATAGCGGATCCTCTGGCATTGTTCAAGGCGCCCTTTTGGACAGGAAGAGCGCCGAATGTGAAGGAAAGCGTTGAAGTGACGGGATCGGACACTGTTATGACCGATGTTACATCTTGCTATAAGTTGTACAGCTGGCCTACTATTTGTTCGTGCTTGCGACATTTCTCATACAAGTATGAAACGGGAATAGCAACTAGTGCAGCTAGAGCTGGTGCCTTCTTGATTCGCTTGACTCTGTATTTCATGCCATCGTCAAGGTTTTTCTCGGCTGAAAAGTATTCATACAGTGCCTCAGCTGAATCGTCGAGTGGAGATTTTTTTGCTAAAATTGAAGCTGGAAGCTTACTGTTCAAACTATTAGCTGATGCGTATGTAAATGCAGAGTCTACTCCAAAAACATCAACTCTCGGTGCTAGCACACCATTAGTTAACAGAATTGCTCACATGGCGAAGATGTTGTTCGCAGATTTATTTTCTTGTATAGAAACAGAATACCCGAACAGTGCAGTCACGTCTGGAGCAAAGACATCGCGGGGCTCACGGGGCTCAACATACAATGCAAGAAGGAACAACATCAGCGTTTTTGGTGCAATTGGTCTTCCAGAATCTTGCGCGCAGTTGTACTTCATATTTCTTGGCGGTCTCCCAATGAGCAGTAGACGTTCAATTATGAACGATTTCCATCTAACCGAAGCCTTTGTTAATATTTTAATATTTGGTAAAAACGAGCCGCTCTGTAAACTAATCTTGACATGTGTTCCGTACAATAAAGAACTGGGCTCTTCGGAAAGTTGCCAAATGATGGAACTGGCAGTACGTGGCTCCTCGTCCAAGACTATCCAGCAGTTTGCAATCCAGCTTCTTCAGATTTTGGTCGGTTTTTGGAGAGATGCGAGTCGTGTGGTGGCTTGGAAAGAGCATGGTGTGAAGAAATTGGCGTGGGTGATTGACATGCTGTTTGAAGCAGTGTTCAATCCCGATGACGTCATAAAGTTAGTGGTCTATGAAATGAAATAAAAAAAGTTCTTACGGTCCAAATCAGAAGCGGAATTGTCTCTGTAAGAAATGCACGCAGTGTTGGGAAATTAGCAATTAAGCATTCAAAATGAGAAATAGAAATGATTCTGTTAGAAGTACAGTTCAGGATTTTATCGATGTACGAAGGATGTATTTCACCAATGTTTTTAAACAAGCCAACGCAGTGTAAGAGTATGAATCTAATTTTTTACCCATTCAAAGGCGCAAATAAAAGTGCTCATTTGGTGGCACTTTTGCTATAATCACGATCTGTTGCGTTGGAAACTTCATAGCTTGAAGAAAATTCATAGATCGGGAAAATGAACGCTTGCGCTTTTATCAATCTACCTTGGATATTTAGGAGTTCAAACTGATTGCAATTTGAGTTTCAGTGAACATATCCGAAAAATAGGTGCGCAAAATTAATTTCGTTTTCTGCCAATGTTCCGACCATAGTCTTAACAAAACCACGGTTTAGAAATTTTTTTTCAAATAAGGGTAGTTTTTTCTGCTTGGTGTGATACAAGGATCTGATGTATAAATATAATTTAGGCATATTAGACAGTCTTAGTATTATATAGGCAATTTGGACAAAAATTTTTGAAGGCAAAGAACAGGAAAAACAAAAAAAAATCAAACAAAAATTACAATTTTTTAAATTAATTTTTAAAAATTTGTTTCCCAAATTTTTGAACTTTTTGATTCCTAAGATGAAGCCAAAAACTCCAAAACTAAATTCATTTAAGTAAAATTCAATTTTCAAGGCTTAAATAAGCATAAATAAGCTAATGTAAGCTTGCTCAATTGCTCGAAATTAGCAGAAAAGTCAAAAATTTCAAAACGGTTTTTCTCGACACCGGGAAAACTTTTTTTGATGGCGTTCTAATCCCGTCTGAAAGGGCTTTAATATGATAAATCATTCAAAATAGTCCGATGATTATTTGTGGTAGCTGATTTTGCGTGGAAAACAAAAAAAGCCTGTGCTCGCTTGCTTTATTCGCTCGAATTGAGTCAAAAATTTCAAACAGGTTTTTCTCGACGCTGGGAAATTTTTTTTGGAAATTTTTAAACGTGGTTCGAATTACGACTGAAAGGGTTTTGTTATGATATATCACTCAACCCAGTCTGAGAATTAGTCCGTACCTGATGTTGCGAGGAAAACAAAAAGCATAAAAAACTAAAACACCCGAACACAAAGCTCCTCCCCATTTTCAATGGTCGGAACAAGAACATACAAATTTAGATGTGAAAATTTATTAACCTCAAAAGATTTAACTAAGCATCTACTAAGTGACAAACCAATTAGACCATTTCAAACACAATCTGTGATGAGCGATTTAAAAAAATAACCGTTTGTTTTTTTCAATAAAGATGTCAAACTGGACAATAAGCTTTTTTCAGATATTAATTTCAAGTAGTCAAATTAGACAGCCTTGTTCATAAATTTAGAGACTTATAACTAGACGATAGTGATTTCTGTGGAAATAATTTTGGTTAAAATTGGGCAGATTTTTTTACGGTGAGTAATTAATTTGTTTCATAATAAAAAGTTCATTGTCGGTCTTTATTTTTTTCGATGCGCATAAAAAACGGTTTATGTGAACGTTTAGAGTTCGATCGGATAAAAAAAAAGATTCTGGGTTGCCCTCAAATGGTACTTGCAATAAGGCTTGTAGCCTTACGATAACCCTTTTGAATCGGCGCTACCAAAATTGTATAATTATAAGAATTAATTGCAATATGCTCGATTCGTAGACGAATTATTTATAGCATCTGTTCGCTGCTTACTAGTTGCTAGCGTTTTCTTTTTGTCAAGAGACCGTGGTAGAGATGAGAGTGAAAAATACTACGCCATAAGTCTTATCTTGTGGTCGGATGTCCTGTTCTGTTTGATGTATCATAGGTGTGAGTCTCGCACTAGTATCTGTTACAGGGACATTGCATTTAACCAACTTTTGGATATATCAGTGGACAATCGATGTCTCCCACTCATGTTCTCAAATGATAGACAACTGGCTCTTCTTCTGGTCCAGCCAGACCCCGTCCTCCTCCAGTTCCAACCAGGAGCTGAACGGACACTCAATGAAATGGTTCATTTGAAGTCAGTGTGCCTGTTTTCGCGGTATCTGAACTGCTCGCTGGAAACCGAGCTGAGTGCACAGTCTCCCTTGCGGCAAAGAACTTTTTCAGAGACTGATTTGTTTTCCACGTTAGTATGATAAGGAATGTCGTCACCTTCAAAAAATATAGGGCGGGTTAGAAAAAATTGGCGTTGTAAAAGTAAGCAAAAAGAGAAGAGCACTTTTGAATTGTGAAAAGGTGGAATTTCTTAATTATTGAAGCAACTAGCATTGAAGCAACTAAAATTCTTCTGCGCTGAGTTCAAATTCATGTACTCTCCCTTGCTTCCTTTGTCGTGAAAACGTTTTGCTTTGTTTATCGATTTAATTTTATTGTAGCACGATGGACGATCTACCGGATTGTACAGATGGCATATCAGAGCTACTCGCAGACTACAGCCGGAAAACCAAAGACAGTGTTTTGTACAAGGTGTTAGTGAAAACATGGTGCAACGAGCACTTCTGCAGTCGCTATGCGCAGTACGTGGACTCTCTGGCCAATGAAAACTTCTGCAGACACCAGACTTCACATGACGGAAAGTTCATCCGCACCTCTTCATCTGGTATGATTATTCCGTGAAAGTATTAAAAATTTGCGACGTTTGGCTTCAAATAGATCAGACTTCAGCATCAGTTTAAAGGCCCAGATTGGCTTCATATTGAGATCAGATGTCAGCAAAAACTGAAAGTTAAATTCAAACTAATTTTGTCCCTAGCTAAATTTTTCTGACTAGTCTGACACACACTACTGATTTTTAGGAAAAAATGAGGGCCCAAAAGCGATTGTTTAACTCGAATCTTCCAAAAAGCTCCCCAACATCTATGTTTAACTTTCTCAATGAAACGTTTGCCTGAGGCTTGTTACTAAATTTCAGTGTATAATCTTCCAATTGTTTGGGAAGTGAGGGCATTCGGAAAATGAGTTTAGTCGAGCTAGAAAAGGGTCGACGAATTTGTTTGATTAAATCCTCTCTCTCCATCGCAAAATTCCCAGATTCATTTCTGAAGTTATGTTTTTCCCTGCCATCTTTTGCTAGTGGGTTATTGGTGATTATATCGAAAATTGTTTATTAAAACCAAAAAAAAACATGATTTCAGGCTCCGTGAAGAAAGCAAGAACCGCAGTTCTCCCCCCTCACCTCTTCAGAGAACTCTGCGAAACAGAAAAGGGTGCGAGGTTTTTCTTCTCTCTAGCAAAGGACACCATATCACACCACATCAACCATCTGGGCATACTCAAACCATCCAAACACCAGCTAGTTGAAGTGAAAGCAGCCATCTGGTCCATAGCACACATAGCCTCTACTAGTTGTGGGTTCAACAGGCTGCCGACACATGCAGTTGTTCTACTAGGTAAGGAGTAGCGTTGGATATAAAAATTTTGCCGGGTACTTGATGAATTAAATTATTTGAACGCACCAGGAATAAAGCACACATTTTGAATTAGGAATGTTTAAGAAGTACCTATGTTGACATGTTTAAGAAGTCCCTATGTTTGCATGTTTAAGCTTTTCAACGTATTATTTTTCGCATGTTTAACGAAAGAGTTTTTGCACGGTTGAGCTGTATCGTATATTAAAATGCTTAAGAAATCTTATTTGGCACATTTTCAAGAAGTCCCTACGTCGGTCTGTTAAAAGCATTGCAAGGGTTGTAAAGTTAATTCAAGTCAGTGTTTTAAAATCTGTTGGAGCGCGAATGCTGTTACATTTTTTCCTATATTCGCAACGTAAACTATCAAAATTTTTGTTTCACAATTTACTCAACTACTTTTGATATTTTTAAACCTATAGTGGTGTGCTGTCCGGGTACATCTAGGGGTTGCAAATCTGGCGTTTAAGTATGACTGCTCCAATCTTTTTGGTTTTCGAGATTTGGCGTTTTTTATGATTTTTTCTTTGTTGTTTTTTCAAAAAACTTAGATATAAAAAAACTTAGCGAACTTAAATTTCTCAATCCTATAGTGGGGTGCTGTCAGGGTACAATCGAGGGCTGAAAATCTAGCGTCCAAGTATAAAGGCTCAAATCATTTTGGTTTTCGAGATATGGCGTTTTTTTATGATTTTTTCCATTTAAAAAAAATGAATACAAAAACTAACCGAATTTGAAATTCTCTACCCTATAGTAGGGTTCTGTGAGGGTGGACTAAGGGATTGCAAATGGGTACACCTAGGGGTTACAAATCTAGCGTCTGAATATGACGGCTCAAATCTATTTTTGTTTTCGAGATATGGCGTTTTTTATGAATTTTTCATTTTTTTTCAAAAAAATTAGTTATAAAAAAATTTAACCGAACTTGATTCTCAACCTTATACTGGGGTGCTGTCAGGGTGCACTCGAGGGCTGTAAATCTGGCGTCGTAGTATAATGAGTCACTTTTTTGGTTTTCTAGATATGGCGTTTTGTTTTGTTTTTTTTTTATTTTTTTCTTTTTTTTTTTCAAAAAAACTTGGATATAAAAAAACTAACCGATCTTGAAATTCTCAACCCTATAGTGGGGTGCTGTCCACTCAGGGGTTGCAAATCTAGCGTTCAAGATTGATGACTTAAATCCTTTTGGTTTTCGATGATTGGCGTTTTTTATTATTTTTTCAAATAAAAAAATATACAAAAAAACTAACCGAACTTGAATTTCTTCACCCAAATGTGTTCACCTTGAAAATACTCATTTTGATCAATAACCAGCAATTAAGTACAGCCAATGCTAAGGATATTAAGACTGACTATTATATTACAAATAGCACTCAGCAATGCGTCCGCTGAGTCATGTTTTTTTGGTAATTTTTTTTTTCAAATTGACTGGTACTGCTAATGCGTCATAATTGGCCTGCGTCACGTAGCAGTTATGTAGACTCACTATTGCCGTGCGTCACTTGAGAAGTGCTGTCGACTCAAAGTTTTACTCATTCAGCTTTTCCCAGTAGCCTTATCGGTCATATTTATGCTTCTGTATGCGAAGTGCAACATCGCCTCTGTGTCAAATTTGGTTATTTATATCAAAAAGTTCCACTCATTAAGCTGATTTTTTTTTGTGAATTGTTCGTCTTTCTTTGCCTCGCCTGTTTTTGCCCTGCCTCTTTTCACTGTATAGTTTTATCCTGGAAATTTTTCCACCGAAATTCTTTGAGACCATATCATTGCGCTTGTTAAAAATATGAATTATCTTACTCAAACAGATCTTTTATTCCGGCATAACACGCTATTCGTTATCGGCTTAATTTTAAATGAGCTGAACTTAAATCAAGCCAACTTACAGCGAATTTAAGCAAAATGACCTTGTCGCTAGATTGAGATTGGATCCTGAAATGCCATCCTCTGAAGGCTTCCTTAGTTCAGGCGATACCGCTCCTTGCATCTCTTCGCTCAATCCATAGGACCTGGAGACATAACGTCGCTGTTTAGCACAAAGCTCTTGATATAGTTCTTCCCAAAAAAATGTAATAAATTGTTTCCAAACGATATCTAGTTACAGAGTTATTTATAAAAAAAATTACAAATACAAATTGGAGTCGTTTGTGAGAACATCATTAACCCAGCACGGCCCGTTATCAGGTGAATTCTACCGGTATGTAGTTAATAAACGTTAAACTCTTTATTCGCACCTTAAAATCCTTCTCAATAAAAAACTGTTATATATTTTTTTGTTTTCTCGGTTGGTCTTTTCTACCCATAGCCTAGAAACCAACAGAAACAAATTCTACATATTTAGCAGAAAAAATTGTCAAAGCATGCCCAATAAAACCGTATTTCCTAGAATGTAATTATCCAAAAAAAAAGTTATTAAAACAATTCAATTAAAACCGAGAAGCCTTTTTCAAGAAATTGGCCCAGACAGGAAAAAATTTACAACAGTATGAAACGTTTTTCTAATATTAGGTGTAATCGACCATTTGTTGAGTTTACTTCTTTTTATAGCTCTTGATTTGATTTTCTCTCTGAAAATATCACGCTTAACTCTGTTCAGTAATAGCATGTCTCAATTTATCAACTTGGCACTCTTTTCGAATAATTTTCCCGGATTATTTCAGAATTTTGTACGCAAAAAATTTTTCTTACGGTATATATTTTATTTTCATGCATTACTTCAGTGATTGAATCCATCCTGCGCTTTAAAAGATAATCTAATTTGTCTTCTGATTTTCATTTTTAGTTCTAACAGTTTGATTTTGTCGGTCTTTGCATTAATTAAAACTCCATATTGAATGATTGGTTGCGCATAACTTTGATATGCAAATATTAATTGCTGTCCAGTTGGAAATTGTCTCAATTAAAAAAACATTCCAAAGAATTGCAAAAGTTTATTTTTTACCTTATCAATATGCTGATGGAAACTCAATTCACAGTCGAGGTGAATTCCAAGATTTAAAAATTCTTCATCTTTTTTGGGTGTCATTTGAAAAATATTTGACAGTCTGTTTTTAGTTTTGTGGGCCCGTCAGTGGCTCATGGTCTTGGTATTGTTTGACAATTAGTTTTTTCTCTAGCCAATCATTTACTTCAAACTTCAATTAATTTTTGCGAGGATCTTGCGATTGTTATTTTGAAAGCATTGTTATTTTGAAAGCAGCGGAAATCGCCTCTATGAGATGTCAGGAATCACCTATGGCAGTGCGGAAATCGACAAAATCTTGGTGGTTTCTTCTCTTAGTATAAACTATTCTTTTTGTTCGCATTAATACAACTATTGCTATTTTTTAAATTTAATTCACGTATAAGATTCTTTCATCCCCCTCCCATCCCTCGCCGTCTTCTTTTCCCTTTAAGTTTTCATCATTTTCATTTTTCCTGAAACTGTTTTCCTTTCTCAGCATCTACATTTAAATATCGCAAAGCAGCGCCGAAGATCACGCAAGCGCTGGGAATTAATAGAGTAGATCGATTCTTTAAAATCTATTCTAATTGCAAATTAAAAGAAAAAGACATAATTCAGTTTTTATGACCATAAAGCAGCGCGGAAATCCCACCAACTTATTTATGGTTTTTTAAAAAGATTACTTAGACTGTTTTTCTTCATTATGTCTAACACCAGCAGTGCGGAAATCACTCAAACTGATCTAGGGTCTTGTTTGAAAATACTCATTTTTTGCTCGCATAGAGTTTCTAAGTAATAACGGAGAGTAATTTAATATTTTTTGTCACAAACATTACTACCCAGTTTGGGTTGGAATAGCACTTCACGTGCTTAACATGTTAACTCAAATTATTTTGTGTTTTTCTGTTAAAGTTTAAGAAGCGACCCACATTAACTGTTGAAAATCCAACCAATTAGACGGTTTTTTTGCAGGGGATTTCCCCTCATTGTTGCCATGACTAGAGTCGTTGTAGACTCGTTTTTTTTTTCGATTAACAGCATTGATCGTTAGCAATTCATCAACAGTGTCAACTTATTTCGCCCAGAGGCTTTACATCATGGACAAACACTGATACAATGCAACTGTGAGAGGTAGTTATCGAGTCCATGTCATTGGCGGCTTTCCTAATTACTGTCTCTTGTTCAGGAAGGCGTTCCGTAATGTTTATGTTACGCTTGCTTGAATTGTTTTTCTGATGTTTAGGATTCCTCCTGGCCTTGTTTATACCGTGCTTATCGTCGAAGTATACAAACTTGCAAATGATAGTGGGCATATTGTTTCCGTAATTCCCCATATACATGTGACAAGCTTTAATATCCCCACGAGAAATCTTTATTTTCAGACTTGACTTGAAAAAGAAATCAATTGCCGCATCCGTAACGTCAGTTACTGCCCTTGCATCGAACGGTGGTTTCCATACAAGTTCACAATCCTTACTAGCATACCTTTCCTGTGCTCGCAGCCTGGTATCTATATTTAACTGCTTAAATTTAAGCCCCGTAATTTCAGACTCTTGTTTTTTATCTTTTTCCCGCAAAAATAAGTTCCGTTTCCGCATTACTCTTTTTTTTACTCCTGTTTTTGTACTCACGGTTACCTCTTGGATTGCAGAGACCACCTGAAGCTGAGGTCCACTGTCGGTTTCCATCGTAATTACAAAAACTGGGAACAGAAAAACTAAAGAATTAATCGCTTTTTTTAAACGTCTGAAATAATAAATCAGCGTGAGAAATTATCTGCAACTTTCTGGAATAATGAGGGTTTCTTATTTTATCAAGGCTTTCGAAATTCCTGAGGTCTTAGATTTATTTGGGGCTTGATTCAATTTGAGGGGTTAGATTCGTCAATTTTCTATCAAAATTTTCTATTTATTGATCTTTTCTGTGTTTTTTTCGGAACGCGAGAGAAAAAAACGTTAAGAACATTTGCAAGGTCAACCGACCGATTTCTAAATCAAAAGAGTAGATACAGAGTTCGAGTTTTTCTGGATTGGTCGAATATTCGTTGCAAGTTTGCTGAATTTCGTTCAGTTATGTCAATTGATTCGCTAATATTTTCGAAGCTAGTTTGATGTCAGAAAAATGATGATTATTTCAGGAATCTCCTTCGCAGTTTCACTTTTTTGAAATCGGAAACAATTACGGAAATCGAAATAGCGACCACGTGGATAGGGTTAATCATTTTCCTACGTTCTCATTGATACTTTTGTAATGAGCTTCGCTCTAGTTGGAAGAGCGGTTAGGTCGAGATTTGCTGTGTGATGGGTCGAACATATGTTGTGCCACTTTCGCTGAGGTTTTCAGCAGCTTTGATAACTTTCCAGAGACGCTCAAGAAGTTTGATTTTTAGTTGAACAAATTTAGTCGTTTTTGGGCATTTTTGGAAAAAAGGCCGCCTTCAGAAAAGTTTTAGGGTCGGTCGGCCAAAAAAATATTTCTTAAAAAGTACCAAAGGGGGACCCTTTGGGTCGGCATGGGGTCGAATCCCTGAGGGGGGGCATCCGCCTCCCCCCCCCCTAAATCCGCCCCTGATCATGATTATGGACTGTGTTTTAGAGTAATGTTAACAGTAGATTGAAAAGTTTTGACGACGTTTTGCTTAAATAATCAGTTTAGCTAATTTTCCATAAGAATTTAATGATAGATGAAAGAGAATGCCACTTAATCACGCAAAAATGAGTCCTAATCTGGATTTAATTGGACACAATTAAGACTTATGTGTTAAAATTCGGAAGCCTTTTTGGATTCAATTAGTCCTTTTGTTAGCTCCAGGACTAAAGCAGGGTAATTTTTTTTATTCAGGGGTCGAACTATACTTTTGTAAACTTTTTTTAGGTGTAAAATTACTGGGTCAGAAATAGAGGAGTAATCTTTTACGGCGTGAAAAGGTAGGACACAGAATTATTGTCATCTTCCAATCATAATTGCTTAAAAGCATCTGGTCTTTTAACAGTATGTCACCATTTTGTTCCTTATTTTTTTAGTAGAAGTATTTAAACAAGTTCTCTTGACAAGTTTTAAGACAAGTTCTTTTGCAATTTTAATACACAAAACATAATAAGGTTTTGAGTTTCCTCTTATCTGTGCTATATGGTGTCCCACTCTTTAACCCCACGTTATTTAAACCCCATTTATTATACCCCCTACTTTATAACCCCGTAACAAGATAACGCCACAACAATTTGACCCTTTTTTAATACTGATAACTTGTTTCAAATTAAGTCCTTTTTACAAGTGCAGGAGTATTCCAATAAAGTGTTTTAATTGACGCCTGAAAAACCACCCTTAATTCAATTGATGCCTCTAGCATCTCAAAAATATTTGCATTTCGATTAGTTTGAGAAATAATCCCTCATTCACGCGTTTAAAACAGAGATAAACTACATTTTACTACATGAAGGCAATTCAAGAATTTTAAAAATTGTGCTAATAATCATACTGCCTCACATTTGAACGATTGTTTTACCATTCTATGAGCTACAATATTTGAAGCGTCCTTCCATTTTACTTTATCGTACAAAGACAAACAGATATTAGTAGTATCAGGTCACGATTATTATTTCAAAACGTAAGAACAAAACCACTACTAACTGGAACTTCTCAAATTTCCAGACTCATAAATAAAGACTACGGGTGGCGAAAATTTTATTCAAACGAGGGGTGAGCATAATCACGACATATCTACGGGAAAACTTGATGCTCGACTAGTTTTGAAAAATATAAAGGAACTGAGCGACAGTAATACCATGAGCGTTGCGGTCGTCACTGCAATTCAGCCCATAATAGACTATATTGCTACTCAATTATGCCTACCAACTAAGGGTAGTTTAGTTCGAACTGCACAGCGCATGCGCAAGTAACGAGAACATGTTTTACCAGCCTCCCCAGCAAGAAGAAATTTGGAAATACCCGAGCTATTTATAATTTTTGTAAGATTTGACAATGGACAAAATTGTCACGAAAGGATTATTTCATTCGGCGACACAAGTGTTACGTGTGCTCGAAAAGTCAAATTTTCAGTGTTACTCCGAAAATTTTTTATCAACTTTACTCTATACATGTTAGTCTTTTAGAAGTAGCCCCCGCTTCCATATATGCCTTCCTACCAAATAAAACAAAAAAAACAACATCGTTTCTTAGAAGCCCGAAACAACTTAACCCCTGGCGGTAAACCTGAAAAGTTTTGCTGGATTTTGAGCAGGTCGCGTTTCAAGCCTTTCGAAAAAAAATCGCAGATTCCAAGCTGTCTGGATGTTTTTTTCATCTTTCTCAAAATTATATGAGAAAAATTGCGGAACTCGGATTTAAAAGGGAGTGCGAAACCAACGAGCTTGCATTAGCCCTTAAAATGTTACCCTCATTTTTCTAAAAAGAAGGCTATCTAAAAAGAAGAAATAGGAATCTCGTACAATGAAATAGTCGAGGAAATTCAAAAAGTATCGCACCATAGAGGAGTTAGAAAAAATTGCAAAAGTTGACGAGCCCTGCCTGTATTTTGCGTTTAATTACATAAAAAGTCTAGTCGCGAACCGAGAAGTCCTTTTCCGCCTTCACTATGGAACCAAAGAGGTGCAACATCCGGTTTGGCAAGAACAACAAATGCTGTGGAGGGCTGGCATTATGGCATACAGTTCTATTTTAGTGGTTCACACCCTAGTTTCTGGAGAGTAATCGCAAACTTGTAAAAACACGCTTCCCTTCGAAAACTTAGTTTCTTTAACGCCTCAAAGGAGCACCAATTTACAAAAAAGAAAAAGTACCGAGTCCCAAACAAAAAAGTGCAGAATATTAGGCTGGTTTACGAAGAGAAAACTTATTTGCCTTTCCTTCCCGCTATAGTGAACTTAAGCTGAGGATTTGTTCTTTTGTTCCTTATATAAGTTTTAAAATTAAAATGTTTGTTTTTTGTCAATTTTTTTGATAAGACATCTCTTTGCAGCCTCCCGGAGACGTAAAAAACGTATTGGCTTGACTCGCATTTGAAAAATGTTGTCTCTAGAAAATAAATCCCAGAACAATTGCTCCTTTGGTGGGACGCTAGCTTTGGACTAGGGGCTGGCAATCCCGTTAGACATTGCGTTATATGCCGACAGTTCAAAAAAATTTAGATGGTTCGATAATTTAGTTAACTTTTACTTTGAATTGATTGGCATTTGAAAAAAGTTTTGTCACAACCAATTTCCATTCCATAATTCTTTTAAACTCAGCCAATTAATCTATTTTTAGTAATATTATTTTCAAGATCAAGTTCAATTTTGGAGAACTCGAATCATATTTGGTCTTTTGAATCATGCCGATCGGATAAGCTTTCAAATTCATATCATAGTCTGGACTATCGGCAAGCTCATTTCTGTTCAAATCTAAACCGCATTTAGCAGCTTGCATGTTAGTTCGTTTTGCTTTGCAAAAGTTTTCGCAATTAAAGCGTCGATGTTTACCGACGCTATGGTTCCGAATTCCTTTCAAGTAAGTTAAGTTTTGTTTCTAACAACTGGTAAGAAAAAGAGGTTAAATTGTAGTGTGGTTATCTAATTCTGGATTATATGGGAGTTGGTTAACGAAAAAGGTTAAAAAACGCGGGGTGATAAGCTTGGGAACCCTGCTATATATATGGTTAGTCGATTTCCTGTTAAAAAAGTAAAACTTTTCTTAATATTCAACCAATGCGAAGATTTTTCCCCTTGCGATAAGCAAGGATATTACAATCGGGTACTGGACTTTTTTCCGGTAAACAACCTATAGTCCACGGGATAACTGAAATTTGGTTATCTCCAAATGTATCTCTATTTCTACTCAAGATTATGACTTTAGCTGAAAGATTTTTTAGATAAAGTTGATTTTTTGTCGGCTTTATTGATTTCGTCCCAATTTTTGTCGGCTCACTTACCGGGTTATTAGTTCTATAAGTTTTTTTGGTAGATTTTCTGAGATTTTTTTTCGTTTTCATGAGGGTAACTATAGTTCATAGTTTTCTGGCTTTAATAGGCGCCACAGTTTTCTCTTAGAATTAAACTTTTTTGGAGTTTTTGACATTTTCTTGCAATTAAGTTTTTTTTTCGGATGCTTGGTTTCTGTTTTTTTTTCTCTAAATTTTCTTGAAACTAGTTTTAGTTTTAATTAGTTTTGTGTGTTTTAGGTTAGAGCAATTTTATTCGAATTTGATTCAATTTGATTGTTTAACGTATTGTCTCAATTTGTTAAAAAAGCTCAAAAAATGATAAGTTTTCAGATTTATTGCAAATTTGACTTTTTTGTCTACAAAAAATGTGTCTTCAAGTTCACATTCAATTTTCGTTTAAGACACCTTATCTTGTGGTTTTTGGAGCTTTATCGTGTATTGCAAGTGGTGCGACGCTTAGCTTGGCCTCTTTGTTCCTAATTCGATTCACCTGTTGTCTCAAAACGCGTAAGCAAACAAATTTTTAAATTCAGTTGGTTAAGTCAATTGTGAAACAATTGATCATATTGGACATCACTGATCATAGCTGTGTGCTTTCAGCTTTGATGGCCGAGGAATCTGAAGTTCTGTCGCTCCGAGGCACAGCTCTGACATCCCTCTCTCTCCTCTGTCGAGATGCTCTAAAGTTGCTTAAAATGATCGGATGGTCTCACGACAAACAATGTGAATCATACATATCTACTTCTTCTACTTTTACACTATTTGAAGACCTAAAGGGCTTTGAAGTTGACCACGAAATTGGCGTGATGTGCAAAAAGTTTTGCAAGCAGATTGAATCGACGAAATTCAAAAAGAGAAAATCGCAAGGTAGTTTTGACCCTCTCAAACATACTGAGGCTGGAAAGAAAGGAACTCTGAGGAAGTTTGCAATGACTAATCAGACTGCAGAGAAGATTAATGAAGATATTTTGGCAAGAGAAGCAAGGAAGTACTCAAAAAGTGAATCACGTACGTAAACTTAATAGTTGAATCCAGCATGTATTTTTCATCGTAAATATGTCATTCATGATTCGTGCTCGTATTTAAAGGGCGAGGCAATATTTCTGGCCCTGAAAAACATTAAATTTGCATATAACTTTCAATCAGACTTAATCGTGATTCTTCTTAAACTGACGAACAGCTCTTTTGTTGGTTCTGTCTCTCGTCAATAAGAGACTCCAACTTTGAAATACTTTCTTTTGCTGTCAAAATTAGTTTGCAATGTTTAAGCTGCTGTTGTTCTGCCCGTTCGGATGAAACGAATAATGAACGTGAGGAACTTCAACTCGCTCAGGGCCAAACGAGGATCATCGTCTGAAGGCTATCGGTCTGGACGTGACACCCGAAATAGCAGCTTGTCTGGATATGAAAGAAGAGAAACGGTCGATTCGAACGAAGAACGAAGTTCATTCGACAGGGAATCGAGTGACATTTCAATTATGGCGTCGGAGAGTGCGCATAACAAGAGGTATTCAACGGGTTGTTCTGTCCCGTCTTACCCCGCGACACCCGTGAACAGACCGAGACTGTTGACTGTGAGCTATGCTATGGATGCCGGAATCGTTGCAAGAAATGACTCAATTGATGGGTTAGTGCTTTCTTTCCATTTTTGTACATCTTTGCTTAAATACGCATCAGCGTTTGATTCGAAATTAACGTAGAAAACAGTTGAAAAGTTGTAGCTTAAGTGACGTGTTCCAGAAGTCAATTCAAAAGATGTCGATATTTTCTGTTCATTAGCCATTATTTTTAGTTTCAAAAAAGCAAAAATAGTTCTTTCGTTTAGAGTGCGCTTCTCTGTAGAGTCACCCAAAGGCTTCGACAACGCAGTGCGCGACGAGCGATCTTCCAGCAACGATTCAAACAACGACGCCGAATGGCTCGAAAAAATTGTCATTCTTGTTCACGAAGAGGAAAAATGCCTTCAATGCAAATGCTTTTCCGCTCTTTATGCGCTGAAGATGACAAACTTCTCTGAAGTATCTTCTAATTTCACTCGACTCAATGTCTTTGCCTCGAGAGATGAAAGTCCAGTGTATGTTCCGAGAATGTACAGAGAGAAATTTCTGTTCTGGGCGGGGCAGCTTTGCAGTATAACTTCGAAAGATGCGGCAACTAATATGGAAAATTTCATGAAAAAGTTCGTATACGGGCTGTTAAAAAATGCTACCAATCCTGCGGTTTTTGACCCAGTAGAAACTGACAGATACGAAAACTCGCAAAACTACGAAAAAGTAGAGATGCACAAGCTAGTGTGTCTTTACAGCGACTGCCTGCTGGTTTTGAACCAGAATGCGTGTTCGGCGGCGAATCGACTGTTCGTCCATACTTTATTCAGTCCGATCGTTAACGAGCAGTTAACTCGGTTAAGGCAGACTAGTGGAATTTCCAATAGATAGAAACAGTTGGCCAAATCAAATGAACTTAGTTTATTTTTGTTGCTATGCAACATTTTCTGTCATATCTTCATTATCTTTGATAGATACTAGTTAGATTGAATTATATCATTTGAAAAATGCACAATTTTCATTTATTCGACGACTGTTTTAATGGAACGTTATTTATTTCAATGCGCTGTTAAGTGTATTTACTTTTCAATTAATTCTTACTCCTGATTTTTTTGAAATTGGTTGAATACATGCATGTTGCATTACGCCATGTTGTGACACTATACCGACAATTTGGAAATTTTTTGCCTTGGAATGAATGTTTTGGGCTCAAAAGCGTCCAGGAAAGATTTGAAACGCTTTAACTACAAGGAGTTTTGTTTTAAAACATTTGATCAACTTTTTAGTTCGAATTTCCGACAGCGTTGATAGCACTTGGAGATCGGAAATGGTTGATGAAGAGTTACTCCTCCGATGAGGCATGGTCGATTTTAATGCATGAACGATGTGTTGCTTGATATGTTAAAATTAGTCAAAATGTATAGACAACAGACAAATCGAAAGGTCTTGACGAATTCAAGGAAACAAACCATCCGAGTATTTTCAATTTTGGACTACACTAGTGCAAACGCCACTCATCAAAATGTCATATAGATTTTATCTAAAAGAGTTTTTTGGTTGATGCTTTTTTGGTTGGATTATTTGAAGTAAAACTTTGTCTCTGTTGATTCATCTTCGGTTCAGGAATTATTGACTCTTCGTTTTTCACGCATTAGTTATCTCATCAACTTAAACGGAATTCTTTTATCGTGTTTTTTTTTCTCAAATTTGAAAGCGATTCGAGGCACAATTTTGAAAAAAAAAGTTCTTTCTTTGATTTCATGATTTAGTATCCCTAACCTATCTATCCGATGCTAGTATATACCATTATAAAAAAATTCAGTCATAAAAGACGGCTTCATGACAAATTATCCCTAACCTTTTTATCCCAGGCGAGGTTATCCCAGTCAAAAATAACCCAGAAGTAAGTATATCCCAGGACAAAGGAGCCCACGCAAGTTAAATTATCACATCTGAGGAATCAAACCAATCAAAATATCGCAATAGAATAATCAAAGGAATTAAAACCAAGATGCCGAATTTGAGCAAACTGATCAAAGCAATGCTAACTTTTGAAAAAGCGCGTGAAATCAAATTCAGTTCAAAGCATAAAGATATGTCTTTTTAAGCTCACTTGGCATTATGATTAAAGAATATGACTCAATATTGTCAAACGATCGATTCACCGTGGATCAAAAGTTTTAGTTAGAAATCAATAGAAATTGTCCCTAAATCCCCCCTGTTCTGGCAACAGGGTATGGGGGCGGTGTGAGGTAAAAGGCAAAATTATTGTTGTATTGGCCTCTATAACCTCCCAAAAATGGGCGGTCGATGAAATCACTTCGAGTGCTTCTTGCAGTTTGTTCCTACTGAGGGTTCTTGTCAGGGCTGCACGTGAAGGAAGTAAAAGCTGAATTGCCGTATTTTCGTTCACAGTCTTGGGGCCAGCTGCTATCAACTGGTTGTTGACTGGCGGCTTCGCTGTTTCTTTCAACTGACTCTTTTTATTTGCGATATAGATATATGCACCAGGTAATCTATATCATAAATTAGTTTTTATTCCCCTATGGGATATTTTAATTGACGTGGGGTATATTGGCATGGGCATTTGTGCCCATTGAGATCTATTGGTATGGGATATTTTGTAATGGGATACCCTCGTATGGGTTACTTTATCCTGTCACCATAAAAGACAAGGTCGATGAATCAAGACAAATAATATATCTCAGTTGGTTGGGCTTTATAGCAGTTAATATCAAGATTATTTTTTGATAAATAGGTTTTATCTAGAAAACTAGAGATTTCAATAGAGAACAAGGATAGCCGTGTACTGTGCCAGAAGCCCAATTTTGCCACCATAGATTTAAAAAACATTAGTTTTTTTCCATTTTGTCGTTTTTTGGCGTGGTGTGATAAAAGGATCTGAACGAAAAAGTAGAGCTTTGGCTTTTTGGACTGTCAATGTAAAATACGAAAATTGGAAAACAATTTTGTAGAAAAATGAATAGAAAAACAAATAAATTTGAAAAAATCAATCGCAGTTTTTTGAAATTTTTGATTTCAAACAGCCGCTAAAATACTTTAAAAAACTCAACGCAATAAACCGGTTTGAAGTTTTTGATTTTGCATTTTAATTCGAGCAAATAAAGCGAGGGAGCAGGTTAACAATACTTTATTTTATGGATTAAATTAAACTTTCAAGCCATTAAAAGAAGCTATTGCAAACCTGATCCCTCGCTTTATTCGCTCGAATCAAGATGCAAAATTGAAAATTTCAAACCATTTTTTTACCACACTGGGAAAACGTTTTGAAGTTTTTTATGTCGTTTGAGGCACGAAAGTACTTTAATATGATATATCACTCAACTCTATCCTATGATTATTTGTGTTTTGATTTCGCTTGGAAACACTACTGATTTCGCAACTCCACTGATTGCGCGTGGAAACAAAACGAAAGAGGAACAAGTAATACAACCGAATATAAAGCTCCCTCCCCAGTTTTCAAATGGTCGTAACAATCAAACGGCATTTGAGCAAGGTAATTAAAGCAATTTTTGTTGAAAATGCGTGTGAAACTAAGTTCCAACTAGAACAAGAAAATGCACGACGTCGTCCCAGTATTAAACGACCTTGGTTAAACTAATAAGACTAGTAATTGCCTTTTCATGGTGATTCCAGAAAGCAGGGGAAAATTTACACTGTTAAACCTCGATTATCTTCTTTCATAGCCAGTCGATTTCCTCGGGAATATCAGTAGTTATATCGAAAGAACGGGATATCGCAAATTTTTACGATGATGGAAGGGAACGCACGCTCAATTTATAAGACAGCAACACAGCTAAAATTTGAGATTTTTATGTAAATTGAGCGCAATCAGCTCCGTAGATTCTTTTTCAAAACCCTTATTTTCAAATGGTTTTCGTTGAGGTCTTTTTCACTATCAGTCAGAGGAAATTTAGGCAGTTGTCGGAAAATTTATAAATGCGATCTGTCGTTTTGCCCAAACTAGGGTTCTCTTCAAAGCTGTGGACGATGGCTGTGAAGACAAAATAGCTATAATAACGCTGATTGTAATGAAGCTAGCTGCTATTTACTGGTTAATGTTGGGATTGCTTGAGATCCAGCTATTTCTTCCAGTTGATCCGCTACTGCATTGTTGCTACACAGCTTTTTTGTTAATTGCATGACTGTGTTATTGGCTGTTTGACTAATAATTTCGTTGCAATTACTTAGTTTCATTGGAGACAATTTTCAATTTAAAAATCAGGGCGTGAAAGGCAGAGGCTATTCCCATGCTTAAGTAGAGAAAAGCTTATTGATTGAGGAAAAGTCATCTTTCTGATCTTTTGATCAATTTTTTTTCTCCCTTTTTTTTCGAAAACTACGCAGCCAAATTCGAGACGGGGACTTCAATTAAAAGTGAGTAGTAGTTTTTATTCTTAAAGCAAGCAGTAATCCCCGAGTTAAGAAGAGAAACAATAGATTTAGCGTAAATTCCTTTCTTTGAATTTTCGAAAAGTACGCTTTCCAGTATCAGAACAAAAATTTGAAACTTGAACTATCTGGGTCACTTGCAAGCGTAAGTAGTTTACATGGAACATTTGATTAGTTTTTTTGTCGAATTTGTGCAGATACATTGACAATTCAATCAAAACTGAAGCAGCTTTATTGTCGCTGGAGTTAGCAAACTAAAAAGCGGTCGTGAAGCAGATGCGAGAACGGGATACTCCTTGCCTCAATATTTTTAAGGTGTAATTTAAATCTTCCTTTTTTTCACTTTGTTTTGCCTGTTTAGAGTTCTCTTTTTTTTGCATTTTTCTCGCTTGTGTTTGCGAAGCGCAGCTTTGCGTCTTTGTGAAAACTATTGGTTCTGTTTTTGTAGTTGCAAGATAGCATTTCAAGAAGAATCATCTGTTAAACTATTCCAAAATGTGTTCTTGTCTTATAAAAGTTTTCTGCAAAGAGTGCATAAAAATTTTTTGAAACATCTTCAATTTTTTTTAATATTTTTTTTTTCAGAAATGATTCGTTTGACTAATTTGATTAAATAGGCCTAGCTCGTTCATAATTTTGCTTAAGAGTAAAACTTTGAATCTGGTTTTTGTCATTTTTGGAAATTATAAATAATTAATCTATATAAAAGCACGTTTTTTCCTAAACTACTCTGTTATCTTATAGCAAGTGCTTATTTGCTGCGCTTCGGTGTTTTATTCATTTTGTATACTTCAGTCGATTTATAGAGTGAAGAGGTCCGTGTGCTTATACGTTTTTGTTTAGTATTATTAGATTTTTTGTACTCCTGCGATTAGCAACTGCTATCAGTCGGAGTATAGACTATTTTAAGGTTAAAATCTTGAACAAAAAAAAATTAGTTGAACTATAAAGGCCTGGAGTTGGCATCTTTTCAGATGTATATATATTTTTTGGGCATGTCTGTGCTTTAAACGACTGTTCTCACTGAAAAGAAAGATAGATTTAGCGGGGACCATTGTGTAATTCAGCGGAGAAGGCGTATAGCATATAGCTCGAATCTTTTCATGACAGTTTGTTCAAATTCGTATCAACGAAATGTTACTCAAGATTTGTCGGCTTAGTTGCCGCTGAATAAGCATTGCTGGATACTTATTTGACGCCGGCGGTTGTTTTGCTGGTTTTGTCCCCAAATTGTATATACACTTCTTTTATCGACTAGTGGCTTTCAGTTGATTTTCTGTCTGCTGGGTTGCAATGCTATGTTTCTTTGGTATCGCCTCTGTAGTGCTAGGGATTTTAGCAGACCGGTTTTTTAGCAGACCAATTCAACACGATAATATTGTGCGCTTGAATATTTGTTTGCCGCTAATTTAGACTGTTCTGTTTTAGAAGTTGATAGTTTTGTTGACAAATCGTGAGATAATTGTCTTAATTGGAGAAGCTTGGCCCTAGAGTGCGGTCTGTATTTAGACAACCGCGTATTCATACTCGTCAGTAAGCAGACAAATACCATACTAACCAATCAGAATCGAGATGTGAAAGCAAATTTACCAAATAAATAATTACAAATTATTCATTTCTTCCTTATCTCGATGGTGATGTCCCATTTG